GGCTGCTGCTCCTGACATATAGGAGGGGAAGGGTATATGTTTAGATGGAAGGTACAGATGAGTTCCTGAACAGAGATGCAGGCATCCTTCTAGAGCTGCCTAAGTCCAACCATTTCAGCTTACAGCCTACCCAGCCTAGGGCTCCTTCCACGGGAAGTACCCCCCCAATCCTCTATAGAGGAATCTGAGGGGATCTCACCCCCAAGGATGCTAATGCAGGCCTCTCATACTTCAAGTTCAGGTGAGGCAGTAACCGCAACCCTCACTCCATAGATCATTTTTATCCAAACTCCTTTTGATTCACTAACCTAGCTTTTCTAGATACCCAGTCCTGCACAATGCTGGGCCCAGAGCTATATGGGGGGCAGGACTCATCATTTACCCACCAGCACATATTTACTAAGCAATTATGGGTGGGCAATGTGCCAAGCGCTGCGCATGGTTCCTGCTTGCCAGGAGCCCACAAAATCCTGCCCACAACCAACCAAGCCACTGCTATTCAAACTGAGGTTCCTGAGCCAGCAGTAGTATACTAATCTGAGCCTCTAGTCTGAGCTTCAGGGACAGAGGCTGCACTAGACATGTAAATTCTCAATGCCCCACCCTAAGCCAAAAGTATCAGAATCTCAGGGGCTGGAGCCCAGAAATCTGTTTTGTAGGCTTCCAAGAGGATTCTTAATGTGTACGTCAATTTACAAAACACTGGTCTCAATCAGAGGACCTTCCCTAACCTCCCTGTGGGCCCAAATCAGCCCCAGGTCCTAGCTTCCCCCAGTCTTCTTCTCTGCTTCCTAGTTTTCTAAAATGTGTTTCTATTAATCCTAACACCATATATTCACCCATGTATTTATATCTTCCCACACTACTATATAAGCATCTGAGGGCAGCTATGTGAGTCTTTGGGGGGAATCTGGAAAAAGAAAGACAATCGCTGGGTACAAACTTGATGGAAAAGGTGGTACCCAACTGGGCCCTAGAAGCTATTTAGATCAGAGATGAAGGATATTTGGAAGAGAGATGCTAAGCCTCATACTAGAAAGGGTCCCAGAGGGCTGACACTGTCATTATCTAATTAGTAGCTGGTATGTGTCAGGAACTGCCCTGACCTATGTTATCTCACTTAACCCTCCAGAACCTGAGAGGTAGGCAGTGTCTTCAGTGGATATCAAGGCTCAGTGATACGAAATAACTTGTCCTGCCCACAAAGAGACATAGCAGAATGCGTGCAGCAGCTTCATGTACAGCACCCCACCATGGAAACAAACCCAAAGGTCCTCCAGCAGGTGGATGAATTAACCAGTTACTCTGAACACATACAACATAGCATTACTCAGGAATAAAATGGAACACACTACAGGGCCACACAAACATGGAAAACTCTTGAATACATATTCAGTAAAATAAATAAGCCAGATTGAAAAGTTTACATTGCATGTAAAAGTTTTAGAATATAAGTACATTTCATGTCACAAAATTGACTTAATTAAGCACTGATCATAAAAATCAGATAAGAAGTTGCAGCTGGGATCGGAGGTGAATGCGCTTACTTAGAAAGGGCCTTTGTGGGGTAGTCGCTGTGTTCTGGAAACGTGTACTAATAAAAATAAAATAAAATAAAACCAAGCACCTCAGTAAAAGAAAAAAAAAAAAAAGACATGGTGGTTTTATGAGTGTTTATATTGGTCAAAACTTATGGAATGAACACCTAAAACCTACACTTCGTTGTATGAAGCCATATTTCAACAGAAAATGAACTAAAAATCATTTATCCTAAATCACAAAGCCACAAATAGAGACATGAATGCAGATTGGTCCAATTCCATCAGCCAGCTTACAGAATTCTGCCATAGTTGAGTGGGTAGCCCCCAGCAGCTCCCTAGTCTGGTAGAGTACCTTGCCAAAATCTGAATAAAATCATGACTATAGTCTCCCTAGAAAAGACGTCACAAGCTCCAACTCCCAATGGCAAAGACTCATGGGAACAACAGACTAAGGTCCAGCTAGGAGTCAAGGAACTTGGGTTCAGGCCTCGGCTCTGCTTTTCACTTGCCATGGAGCCTGTGAACATACTGCTCTGTGACTCAGTTTCCCCTTCTGTAAGACAACAAAGAGGAGATCAGTAGTTTGCAGCATGGGAAAACAGATCCTGGGGATCACAGGGCCACAAGCCCATGCTCACTAAGCTCTGTTATTACATTAAATAATCAATGTGCCTGCTTCATATCTGGTATGCTATTTTTCTGATAATATCGTGATTAATAAAATACACCTCTATTTCACAGCAAAAATGAAATCATAGTGGTTTTCGGTCATTTTTGTGTATCTTCTTAAACAAAAGACACTAAAAGAATAACCACTACTCACGACTTTGGTTTAAAGAGGCTGGGGATTTCTGTATAGAGGATTGCTAAGGGGACAGTCACCAAGGGGATTGTCGCCAAGGGGATAGTCGCCAAGGGCCCTTCCAGGTCAACTGCCCTATGGTTGTCCAGTATAACTTGTGCAAATGCTTGCCTGTGTGTTCCTAAGGCCTAGAGCCTTAGGGAACAAGCCTCTCTCCTGGGCCTCAGGGACAGAGACCCCAGGGTGTGGACTGTGTCCTGGGTGTACAGCCCAGCTTGTAGGCCCCAAGTGTCCTCACTGTTACACCTTGAGCCTTAATCTCCGCGCCCAGCACTGACAGGGACCAGCTCTAAGGCTGGATCCTAAGCATCTCCCTCCTCAACCCTTCACCATCAGCTTCCAGCACCAGAAAAAGGAAGTCCTTAGTCACAGAGGTGCTCTACACAGGCCCACGTGGGATCTGCTGCCAACAGGACTCCAGCCCCTGGCGAATGGCCTCCCTGCCTCACCCTGCCATACCCTGAAGGCCCCAAGCACAAGATCAGATCTTCCTTTCACATATCCCGGTGGCCCAGCTGCCCCTCCCCCATTGGACACATCCTCAGCTATGGGCCAAGGGCCCCAGACCACAGAATCACGGGCTTCTCAGGCCCTCACTGCCCAATTCACACTTGTTCTGATGCTGAGTCAAGGGTTTATAAAGCAGGAGCGGGAACAGTGCCCTGCCTCTCCAAGACCTCGATCTGGTACATGCCCCCCCCCCTACACACACACATACACAAGGTTTACAGAAAGACTACACCAAAGGAAGCCTCCCCCCCAAGCCCCACCCATTTCCCCAAATGTACACTAAGGTACAGATACGCAGCCCTAACACGCCCCCACACCGGACGCTAGAACCTATCTTGCCTATTTCATATTTTAAAATGATAAAGCAATAGGCAGAAAACAGATCTGCTGTCTCCACATTCAATGGAAACTCCACTTGCTACTTTTAATCCACCCTCCGTCCATCTATCTGACTGCAAGCCTCTTCGGAACCACCTTCTCTCCATCGCTGCTAACTTTGCAGGTCACTGGACAAAAGATAATCACCCCTAGCCTCTGTGAGACCCCTTTGCTGTCCACCTCCGCCTGAAGATGCTCTAGGCCCTAGTGCCCCCAGCCTCCCCCGCAACCCCTCTCCCGCAAACTGCAGAGGGTTTTGCCAGAAGCTGCTCCCTAGAGGCCTGAGGACGCCTTGGCGAGGCCCAGTACAGGAGGCCTGGTGATCCGCGCCAGACGCCCCCTCCCGCAGCATCCCCACACAAGGGGCTGGGCGCAAAGCCTGTGGGGAAGGGGAGAGACGCCCAAAGGATTGCGGATTCCAGCATCCGACGCGCACTCACCACGCAGCGCCGCAGAGCCCGTGCGTCTGCTCCCGGGCCGCGGGGAAACCCACGCGCGCGGTTCAATCCGGGCTCTGAGTGACGAAAAGCTGCGCTCGGCTCAAGCCGGCCCGGACCAACGCACCAACCCGCAGATGCACAGACCGTCAGGCTTCCCTAAGTTTTTAGAAAGTTCCCTTCGCCGTAAGGGAAGGGGCCTCGGGCCGCGCGGCGACACCTAACATTCCCGGGTGGGCTTGTAGGGAGAGCAGGGGTCAGAGACCTCGGGTCTCCGGTCTGGGGTCCAAAGCACGCGAGCGTCGTGCGCGCAGGGTCGCGCCGGGCACCGCGCAAAGGGATGAGGGCTGGGGGTGAGGGCGGCCACATTGGGGAAATGGGGGAGGGGTGTTCTCCGCACCGCGCCAGCCTGGGGGGACGCGGCTCTCTCTGCTCCCGACAGGGGACAGGCCGTGATTGGCAATGGCCAATCCAACTCCGAATCCCAGGCCCCGCCGAGCCGTGACGGCCAATTAGTAAACGGCCCAATTAGTGCGCGGCGACGCCGAGAAGTTGAAACCCAGACGCTCAAGTGTGGACGCCCCGGGGCTGGGGGTGGGGTGGGAGTGCAGGGCGGTGCGGAGCTGGCGGGTGGCTGTCCCTGGGTGTGACAGTTGGTGCTGTACGGTCCTCGGGGCGATTTGTGTCTCAGCCTCACCGTCCAGGGTCTGGCTGCGTGTGGCTGCGCGCGCGTGCGAGTCACCGTGAGCTTGAGACTGTCGGAGGGGCTTCTTTGTGTGGCTGTCCCAGTTGTGAGTGGGTGTGACAGCGGAGGGGGCAGGTAACGGTGTGCGTGACAGCGCACGGTGTGTGCATGGGGCTCCTCTGGGGCAGTGTGACAGTGTCCGTGAACAAGCGACTGCGCCGTTGTGTGTGAACTGTCCGGGTGCCGCGTGTGGGACCTTAGGACAGTGCAAGAGGCGCACAGCTGCCTCAGTAGCCGCCGGTCCCTGTGTGTCGGCTCGTGAACTCGAGTGAGGCTGTCGGGGACATGGATGAGTGTGTCACTGGCGTCGTGCGAGCGGCTGTCGGGGTGACTTCTGCCTGTGATCGGAATAACTCGGGCGCGCGTGTGCCCGCCAGGGTGAGTGTGAGTGGCACGTGCCGGTCGGCTGGGCTAAGGTGTTCGCAGCCCCCTGCGTGCGCCCTGCAGTGCCCGCGTCCCGAGCCGCCGGTGACGCCGACCCCAAGCGCCGGCCCGGGACGCTCGTCTGGCCCCCGACCTCCACCTACCTTGCCGCAGGGATAGTAGTCCAGGTGCGCCAGGCCGGCCGGCTCGGGCCCGGGCCGCGCGCCCACCGCGGGCGCCGAAGGGTACAGGCGGACGTCCATGGCGGGCGCGGCGGCG